AGATCAGGCAACACGGAGCTAAAGGTTTTTATGGCCTGCTATATAATAGGAAATTGACGGAGGAGGCTACAAAAATCCTTTGGGCAGCACAGGAATTGGATAAGTGTGAAAGATGGATTTCCACAAGAAGAGACTGCTATCCATGGGGAGGATAAGGGGGCAGCCAGGCCGAGCAGCAGCACACAAAACTGGACAAGGATAAAATCAAGAGTGATAAGCCAGCCTCTGCTGGAAAACAAGACATGAGCATGACTGCAAACACTCAGGTAATGGTGAGGGACTCTCTATATATTATAATCAGTTAATACTGTGAAATGCTCAGGGCTGCACTAACTCAAAGAATTCCTGTTTTTTCCAAGGAAACTCACTCACCGTTTCACCAAGATGCGAATGGGGTCTGTCATGAATTTGTTGGTCATTTCCAGAATTTCATGAGGCAAAGTGGCACTGATTAGAACCACCTGTGTAGCTGGAGGCAGGTATCTGTACACGTCATAAATCTGCTCCTTAAAGCCTGCAGTGCAAATCAAGTCACACAAAACAGTTTAGCACATCTTTCTCCCAAATATTCTCCTCTTTCACAATTTGATATGGGATTCAGTACTGGGTCTATGCTATGAGATGAACATTGATACATTAATCAGTATCATCAGACAAGGCATATTATGCAGTTTAACCCATTACAGCCTACAATTAACTATAATTGTCTAACTTTGGAAAAAGCAATTTTTAGAAGTGGGCCTGCCAGCTGGGACACCCTGGAATCTCAAAGAGGTGAAGAGAAGGCAAGTAAAAAGGAGACAAATGTTTTACCTTTATTGAGCATTTCATCTGCTTCATCCAAAACTAGCATTTTGATGGCACGAGTTCTTAAACTTCGACGACGAATCATATCTGTAAGATTTCACTTTGTAAGGTGAAAAAGCTCTGAAAGCAGGTGAGCCTACACTGCTCCCAGCCTCTGTCAGGGCACTTTGGTGCAGCAGGGACAGGCTCTTCCTCTGCTTTTTTTTTTTTTCCACGTGCGGGGACTAGCTCTGTGTTCTCCCAGCGACAGGTGCCTGTGTAAGCCAGGGCTGTCCGCTTCTCAGAGACCCAGAAGATGTGAGCTTGAAGGCCAACACTGCCACTAATAGTAAATTTTAAAATCTTCATGCAATGAAACCAGAAGGTACCGGCTGCAAGTGTACCTGACTTCACAAAGGGGGAGCAACAACCAGTACACAGAATATGTGGACTAACTTTGGCAATCAAGTACACCCGGCTCCTGTCCCCTTGAAGATACTTAAGTATTTTCTAGGATTGTAGTATTTTCTCCTTAAAAAATATTCTTTTTTTCTATGCCACCATATAAAGACACACTTCATCAATGAAAAACAAAACATAAAAAGAAAAAATGAAAATACTATCCTCCCTACTGATTTCTCTCTAGCCTTTTCCAGGTATTACTACAGCAAGTTGTTACCTTGTTCCACTTCACGTTAATATTACATTAACGGTGTCACGATAAATGTAATTTCCATGCTATTTAAAATCAAAGCACCCAGAAGCTAAGGAGGTTCCAATGACTCAACTCAGCTCTGAAGCTAGAGGTGATGCAGCCTCCCAAACTTCCTTACCGAACACACGGCCTGGAGTGCCAGCAACAACGTGCTGCCCATAATCCAGTTTTCGGATGTCTTCCCCCACGTTGGTCCCTCCGATGCAGGCATGACACTGGACATTCATGTAGTCCCCCAGAGCAAGAAGCCCCTGTGTTGATATAATGCAAAGGTTTAATTACCTGAGCTCTTCTAAGTTTGCATTTGTGAAGAGATGCAGGTCTGCACAGCCAAACCACAGCCACGTGGGTTTTTTAAAGAGATGTAAGCACAAGGAGTTGGAGGGATTTTTTGTGTGTGTTACCCAAACCTTAACAACAGCAGGTCTTCAAACACTGGGGACCCAGTTCCCCAGGGATCACAGCTGCTTTAAAAGTGTTGTCCTTAAAAATTCGGTTAGGACTGTGTACAACCTTAGGCTGCCAACCAACACGGTCATGCAAGCAGTAATGGATACAATGCAGATGAGCAAAACAGCTCTTTCAGGAACAGAAAGAAACAGTGGAAGAAACAGTGGAAGCTGTGCTTTGAGCTCTGCTGGGGAAACACCAGAGCACTGGCCTCAGGCCTTGCCAGTGCTTTACAGGCAGGGATTTAAATGCTCTTACCTTCTGAATCTGCACAGCTAGCTCTCGAGTGGGTGCCAAGATCAATGCCTGGGTCTCACGAACCTGATTAAAACAAATGATGACATGGAAGTTAATCACAGGCCATAGAGCCAAGTGTAAAAGATTATGGGTCCCACAACACTCTGAAATGTCACAGCTGAATTAAGGCTCAGTATGCCTAGAGAGTGGCTTTCAAATAGAGCATTTACACAGCAACAGCCTCTTTTAAGTTACTTTTGACAAGAAAGCATTTAAGCAGTTCTTTAAGAACTTATTTTTCATTCCAACACAATTTCTGACCAAAAAAAGTGTCTACTTTTCTTGCAAAGTAGAAACAAATTTAAAACCCTTCAGTTTTGTACGTTTGGTTCAGATAAGCACCTTGCATTGCACAAGGATTCCAAGACAATGTTTTAAAGTGTCAACTTTGAAAAATATTATGAGCACATTACAGAAATGAAGCAAAAGCTGATCTTTGCATTTAGAACATACAACCTTCACATTTATGTCCCCAGGCAGCAACAAATGAGTAACAATCCAAGCTTTAAGAGGATACCAGCCTACAGAAAAACATCATTTTATTCAATAGCATCTACACATTCAAGTTAATACTTAAAAAGCATGGACATGATACCCCTGACCACAACAAAAGCAAACATTTGTCAGTCAAAAATCTGGGTTTGATTCTGTGCAATGTGTGGCAATTGTTCAGACAGGCTGATAATGCTACAGGACTGTCTGAAGACAATTCTGCTTACTAAGAGATTAACTTAGCCCTCTAATAGGTGAAATAGTCTGTTAAACCCAACTTTATAATTACAAGACATTATCTGAACTTATTTTGCCAGACTGGTTTTAACAGTTAAACTGTTACAGAGTAGAATCAGAATTTTGTCTGAGGTTCACCGCCCATAATTAAAAGATTTCAATGTAAGGCTTCATTTATTAATTCCAAACAAAAAATGGTTTTTATGATCAAGACTATTGATTTAGTAAAAAATATTTTCTAGCACATGCTGTGAAATTACCTGTATGTCCAGGCACTGCAGAACAGAGATGGAGAATGTTGCTGTCTTCCCTGTTCCTGACTGTGACCTGAAAAACAGATGTTTGGTGAATACTCTGGATGTCTGGACAAACAACACAGGCAACTTTGACATATTCCACCCCTCGGCTCTTTGCCACTCCTCCATTGCAAAGAACTCAATAGTGGCAACAGTGTATTTGACAAAGGCTTGTTGTGATCACAGCATGATCTGCTGTCAAGCAGCTTTGAGATCTGCAATACCAGGGACAGAACACTCCATTGCAGGGTCCCCAGCTCTGGCATGCCTACTCCTTATCAGACCACATTTTAACTTCCTGTAATCTCTCATACATATAGTTTTTTTTTCTTTTCAAGCGAACAACAGATAAGCCAATACAATTTTGAAGGCTAATAATTCCCACTAGTGACCTACAATAGATTTTTTTCAGTGGCATGCATATCCTTCT